AGTGTTTCCAAAGTCTTGGTATATTTTCATTTATTGGAGTATCTCTTCGTGCCTATTACTCTAGCACTCATGAGAATGATATATGTTATGATAGCTTTGATGAGTATAGGACGTATAATAGCCCTTTTTTAAATGATATTTTGTTTTTCCCCACTTAAATGTAAAAACAATTTTTAATGTTTTTGTTTTGTTTTGAATTTCAGATTCTATCCATGTCTCCCTCCTCTCCCCCCTCCCTTTAGTGGTAAGCAATCTGATATAGGTTATACATGTGCGATCATGTAAAACATTTCCATATATAATAGCCATTTTAAAATATTAGCACCTACAAAGTCACTTGATTCTGAAAGGAATAGAGCCAGGTATGTGTGAAGTCTGCCTTGATAAAAAGGAAGAATTCTACCAGTATTTCTCAGCTTTGACTCTTCCACTACCAGCTAGGTTCATATCCTGAGCCATTGATAATGACCCCTTTAAGTCTTTATTTTCCTATTAAAAGTTTGTGTTCTGTAGCAAGCTTACTGGGTATGATCTGGTCCTTCTCAAACTAAAGGTGGAGTGATTTGGTTCCATGTGCTATAAACTCAGAGAATCAGCTGTGTGCAGATGTAGACCCCCATCGCTCTAGTCTCATGTCTACAACTATTTTCATGAAATATTTACACTTCAGTTATTGAGACCTACATATATGTATATATATATATATGTATGTATGTATGTATGTATGTATGTATATATATTTTTTTTTTTTTGCTTTTTTCTCCCCTACCATCCCTTGGGCCTCTAGAGATCCCTAGAAGGGTTTTCAGAGAGAATAACTCCTATGCAAAATGAAATCAATAAATACTCATTAAATGTTTGCTGTGTGCATGGTGCTGTACTTCCTCTGAGAGAGGGAAAGGAAATATAGAAGTTTAAAAAAAAAAGAGTGGCTACAGTTGGGGAGCCAGCATAAACATTGGAAAAGTAAAATGATATTTATTAATACCCTACTATGTACAATAATGTACAACCCTATATGAGAGCTCCCAATTAGTAAACATTTGTTAAGCACCTACTATGTGCCAGGTATTGCACTAAGTGCTGGGGATACAAAGAAAGGCCAAAGACAGTCTCAGCCCTCAGAGGAGCTTGTGGTCTAATGAGGGATGGGGGGATGGGGAACAACGTAGAAATAACTATGTACAAACAAGCTATGTGCAGGATAAATTAGAGGTAATCACAGAGAGGGAAGTCACCAGAATTAAGGGGGTTAGGGAAAGGCTTCCCGTGGAAGGTGGAGTTTTAGCTAGGACTTGCAGGAAGCCAGGGAAGACAGGAGGCAGAGGAGAGGACAGAATGCATTTTATGTATGGGAGACAGCCAGGAAAAATGCCCAGAGTCAGGAGATGGAATGTCTTATTCAAGGAACAACAAGCAAAACAGTGTTACTAAATCACAGAGTAGAGGAGAGAAATGGGGTAAAAGGTATAAGAAGACTGGAAAGTGAGTGAGTACCAGATTATGAAGAGCAGTTGCCAAGTTAATTGTATAAACAGTAAGTGCTATAAGAGAGAGCCCAAAAGTGTTCCTTCTTCTCTTAGAGTTCCTTATTTATATGTTTTTCAGCATTTATCATATATTGACTTGTATTATATGTATTTGAATAAATGTTTTTCTACACAGCTGGAATGTAAGCTCCTTGAGGGAAAATATTGTTTCATATGTATAAATACTATTCATATATTTCTGCTGTCTGTAGCATCTAACACAGAGAATGTTCCGTTCATTTGATAAATATTGTCATCTACATTTATTAATTCTGAAGATAACACAATTATGAGGGTGTTAAGGGAACAATATACAGGATATCTAAAGGAGTAAAAGATAGCAAAGGCATGGAAAAAAATTAGACCTTAATAATATCAGAAAAAAACTGCAAGATAACTTCAGTAACTATTGACTTATATGCTTACTCCCCCATCTTTATGCAGTCTTTTGGAGGATCATCTAAATGTATGAAGGACATACTCCAGCAAGATGTAAGGGTGGGATTCTATTCCATCCAATCCAGTTAACAAAGGCGTGTGTGTGTGTGTGTGTGTGTGTGTGTGTGTGTGCGCGTGCGCGCACACACACACACACACACACTCCTTGATTGAATCAATCAATCAAAAGCATAAATTTACTTGTGAATTAGTCCTTAATCAATTTGAGGGGTTTTGGCCATTGTATAAAAACAGGACCCCACACAGGAAACAGGAAATATCTCGCAATTGGTTTGAGTAGATCAGATCACACCTTAACTACATCTAAAAAACATCAAGCCAGTTTGGAGTCAGCCAGTCAGGCAGCGAATGAGTTTTTGTTGTCCAGCAGTAGAAGAATTCCAGTTTAAAGAATACTTGTTCAAGAGTTAGAGCCAAGCCCCAAGAGAGAATAACCCTTAGAGGGGGAGGAGGAGAGAGAATTTCTTAGTCTTCCCTCCCCACCCCACCCCTATTAATCATGTCAACAGAGAGACTGAGCCAGTAGCACATAGTGCATCCAGCTGGGAATAGAAAAATTGGACAAGTAGAATACAACACAGCCAGCCAGGAATAATAATTAATTGAGAAAAGGCAGCTTCTTATGAGCATGATCCCTTATGATGGAGAAAAGTGTTTATTATAGACTCTACAAAGGCACCCACCCTTGGAGCCCAGTAGAGAACTACACCTCAGGATACTTCATGAGGACTCCATGAAGGGAGAAGAGGACTTCCAGTAACTGGGAGTTGTGCATTACTGTCGTTTCACCACACATGCACTCACATTCTGTAGTTTGTGCCCGCTCCCAGTGTGCTTACTGTTGTTGACTGGCGGGAGGTGGAGAGGGAGCATTTAATTCAGTAAAACAAAATGCTGCTTTCTAGGCTCTGTTACAATACTGTTTCTCCCATCTGTCATATCAAAATCATTTCAGATTCCTTGGAAGATACAGCAATAGAAATACCCCCTTTTTAACATTCCTCTGATAATAAATACCAGGTGAGGCAAAAACAGAGAAATGTATACTCATCAAAAGTATTCACAACAGTGATGGAGGAGAGTCAGAATACAGATGTATTCTGTGATGACAGAATACAGAAGGATTTTGGAAATGTGAGATCTACCAACTGCTTCATTTGTGGAGGACATTGCACTGATTGCATTAAACATTGCAGAACTTTCTAGAAGAGATCTTTGCTATTGTTGTTCAGTTTCAGTTGTGTTTGGCTCTTCATGACCCCATTTGGGGTTTTCTTGGCAAAGATACTAGAATGTTTTGTCATTTCCTTCTCCAGCTTATTTTACAGATGAGGAAACTGAAGCAAACAGGGTTAAGTAAAAATTGCCCAGGGTCACATATCTGTTAAGTGTCTGAGGCTGTATTTGAACTCATGAAGATGAGTCTCCTTGATTCCAAGCCCAGTACTCTATCCGCTGCACCTAATCCCTCAAAGGAGTTTGACCATATATTCTACAAGTGGATTAAAAATGTCTACGGCCCATACTTCAACATGCATTTCGAGAACACCCTATGGAATTTGTCTATCTGGGGTAAACAGCGTAGATGGACAAATTGGGCCCAGAGTTGAACAAGAGTCAGGGACACTACTTCCCTTAGCTCCTATTGGCCTTTTCTCTGCCTCCATATCCTCTAGACCAGACCATCAGCACTGTCATCTGACTTAATGAAGTAACCTAGAACGCTTGGATACTGCCACATACCCAAAGCTAAATATTTAGGGCTTCTGGAATTTTCTATATACCCCATGTTTGAATTTTCTTTTTTGTATTTTCTCACTAATTTAGAGTGGGAGCGTGTTGAGAACAGGGACGGTCTTGCTTTTTCTATGCATATCCTCAGAGCTTATCACAAAATAATAAATGCTTTTTCATTTGTTCATTCATTTATTCTATAAAGGGATTGCCTATCTGGTAAAGTAATGGAGTTCCCAGCTACTTCAAGAGATTTTATAGCAGGAACTTCTACAATAAAAAGATTTGATTAAATGACCTCTAAGGGCCCTTTACCCTCAACTCTTAAAATTTTGTGATTCTGTTTGCTATAAAAAAAAATCATATGTTTAGCTTGGGGACTAGCCCAGAACCATTTGCAGGTTGAAGCTCTGATGATGATTAATGTGATGTCAGGTTAGGGTCATAGATGTAACCTATCCAAGACAAGATCCTTCTGTGTTTGTCTTTCTGAGATGCTCAAATCATAACCTTTCCTCATGACTTAGTTTTTCCCAGTTGTATTTCCTTAGAAGGTCCTGGCCGATATTCCAAGCTCTGCATTTCTTTCTATGAACAGCAACAGAACTCAGACCCTGGGCCCTAGGGAGTGGTCACAGGGGTAGAGTGGGAGTGGGGATTATTTGTTTTTGAACTTATTTCTATATGTCATCCCCATTGCACCAAACCTTCTCACAAACTTCCTGTGGGCCCTCCCAAATCACGAGTCGATTTCTACTTAGCAACTCCAGCTCTCACTTATGTCCTACTTTCCTGGTTTCATCAGAAACTCGTTGCATTTGTGTTCACCATGACAGACATGCTGAGCTCTGGCTTCTGTGAAGCTGAATCCCTCACACATAGATTCTCAGCAGCGTAGCCTGTTTTGTGATGACTTGTACCATCCTTCTTCCACCTTTGACCCACATATTCCTTTCATTGTCTACCTGAAGTCCACCTCTAGCCTCAAACTGCTACCTCTAAATCTCCATTCTGTGCTATTCCTACCCTTTCCCTCCAGTCCATGTTTTAATCCCTGCTTCCTCTCTTCCTTCTCTTTTTCTTTTACCTTTGTCTGCCCTTCTCCAGTAACCTCAGGGGTAGTCTGACTTGTTCTCAGACTCATCTACAATGTGAATCTCTGCCACAGTCCTTTACTGAGTTCACAGCAGTGACTCAAGATAGGGTCTTTTCCCTCTCCAAAGCAGCAAGACAACAGAGTCTCGGGGATAATCTGTTTCATGTCTTTGTTTCTCCTAGGCCCAGGCTACCGGATCCCCACACACTTCTCCAACTCATGGAAGTGGCCGCCCAATGCCCATGCCTGTCCGTTCAACATCTGCTGGCTCTACTCCTACTCACGGGCCACAGGACTCATTGAGTGGAGTTGGGGGAGACATCCAGGAAGCTTTTGCACAAGGTAAGTTTCAGTAGTGGAGCACAATGGAAAGAAGGGAGTTGGGGAACTACATGCATCTTGAGACTTCTCCAGTACTTTTTAAAGTCTGAACTTTAAATATTGAAACCTTCATATGAACTGTAAATAAATTGACCCAAAGAACTGGTCCAGAGTATTTTACTTTCAAATGGACTTAACCTGAAATTGAAAGTACTAAATATAAGCAGTACAATACAGTCTTGGTGCACACGTATAGGAGAGGCCTCATAGACTTGGACCAAGTGCCAATCCAGAGGCTTGGATCCTGACATCTCCTTTCTCTTTAGGAGAGACGTGCTTCTTGTCATTTGGGCTCTGCTTCCTTCCTATGGAAGGCATATGGTAGATGTCTGTCAAAAGGATGTCCTACCTTGGGAAGGCTTAAAACAGACCAAATACCTGGGTCTGTGGGTAATATTCTTAACATACATCATCTGTATTCCACATCCTGCATAGACCTGCTGAAGGTGGCACAATTATAAATTTGGCACAGACTAGTTCTCCTGGAGAACTGGATGTTAGTAGCAGAATAGTAGCAACAGCAAGTGCTGGGTTGACTGGGTGATGACCCTTTGAGAAGTTGGAAGGGGCACTGGTACAAATAAAGTCCAGCCAAAGATGCAAAAAAATACTGTGCCGTAAGCTGAGTCCTGAACTTCCTCTGATATAGTTAGCACCAGAGAACAGAGGTGGCAGGAGTCTGCTATTTGTCTGAAAGGGGCATATGAAATGAGGCTAGCATGTGTGGGTATCTGGTAAACTGCATCCAGCAAACTGGTATGCTGCATCCTGAGATGCAGTATCAGGCTTCAAAGCACCCACCTTCTGTGGCTGGAAGCAGATGGCATTGATGTTGCCAGCACCTCTCAGCACCTCTATGGCTATCTATGTCTTGGGACCTTGCAGAAGTGGCTCATCAACCTGGATATCTCCTCTCCATGCCCACTCTGGCATCGCCATCTGCTCTGACTCCCCTCAGGTACGAGGAGAAACCTCCGAAATGATCTGCTTGTGGCTGCTGATTCCATCACCAACACCATGTCATCTCTGGTGAAGGAACTCCATTCAGGTGAAGCCCAGAGCTCCAGCCCCATGTTGCCACATCATCCTCTTACACATACACATGTTTCTTACTTCATTACAAATCCTACATGAGTGAGCTCCTCGGTTAAGGATTTCCCATTAAGTGAGGGCAGACTTCATTTGTTTCCTCGTGTCCAGCACCCACATGTCTTTATAGAGGTACTTGTACATTTTGCACAAATTTAACATTATGATGATAATTCATAAAGACAAAAATGAACATACAATGAATATACAAAACAAATGTGGAAAGACACTCATATTTGCCTTTACCATTATAAGTTTGAGTTTGCAAGTCTAGGCTAACCAAAAGGTTGTTTATTTCCTCCCAGGTCTTTGACCTGCTGTCAGGGTAAGCTGGCCACAGGTGGACAGTGCTGCTTTGTCTAGGGCCTCATGGTCTGAACAATTTGGTTTCCTGTGTTAGCTAAAAAATATAGAATACTATACCTTTTCACTCAAACTTTTTCCAATAACAAATGATATCAAAACAGCTAAGTATAGGCATTACCTGGTATTGTCAAAACCTATAAATAGGGTACAGAAGTTAGAATAATAATTTTTGAAGTAAGCAATTTGCTGTTTAGGTACCTTACTTACCGATCCATAACCCTTTTTAACTGCTGCTTAATTTAACCTTGCTTTTCCTCTAGGCTTGAATAGAACTAATTCACTATGAATTTTACTTGGAGTTGGACCCTGCTTTGAGGACAGCTTAACATCATTAATCCAAGTTAATAACAAAAGCTCCTGATCATTTTTTCCCCAGGCTACTGCAACTTCTACTTACCCTGATTAAAGAGATGGTGTTGCCATTTCTAAGATCATAGGTAAAGAGTTGGAAGGGAATTTAAACATCATGTAGTCCAACCATCTCCGGTTACAAATGAGGAAAGAAAAGTCCACAGAGGGGATATGATTTGTCCAAGGTAAAACAGATATTAAGTGGCAGAGTCAGCATTCAAGGCTCCAGGCAAATACATTTTATCTGGTGCTCTTTCAGCTCTACTATCCTGCTGGTTCCTCTGCATTTCTGTATCTGACTCCCTGACTCCAATCTGACTTCACTTGGAAAGAAAGAATCCCACCTGGCCTCTTCCTTCACAGTATAATGCTTATTTTCTTCTTTGATTGTTTTCTCTTCTCTTGGCTCTTGAAGTAATCTACCAGAGACTTTTAGCCCCTTCTTCTTTTCTTTTCCACTTGATTTGGTAGAAACCAAAAGAGGAATGATTAGTTGACATTCAGAATTGTCTATCAGAAACTGAATTTTGGTGATTTTCTTTTTCCACTGCCAAAGAATAGATCAGTTAACTAACTGCTATATATTTAGTAATTACTAAATAAAGTAGTTGTCCCACTAACTTCCAATTCTTCTATAATTTTTACAACCTAGCTGCCTTCTCTCATAGAATCACACAATTTGGGAGTTGAAAGGACCTTAGGTGCCATATAATCCCTGAACAAGAACCCCTACTACAAACATATTAGGCAAGTGGTCATCCAGCCTTCATTTGAATGCTTCCAATGAAAAAAAACTCCTCTCCCTCCTTGGGCAGCCCATTCTACTTTGTTCTTTTAATTGCTCTAATTGAAGCCAAGCAGAACTAGTCTATTCCCTTTTCCATGTAACAGTCCTCATACTTGAAAACAATTATATCCTCCTAACCCCCCTGCAAGTCTACTTTTTTACATCTTTAGGTCCTTATCTTTATATGGCATGATTTTGAGACCCTTTATCATTTTATGGAACCATTCTCTCATTCCTTGATTTACTCAAGTGAATATATGTCTAATTGCCATACAATACTACTCCATCCCTATCCCTAGCCTTCTGCTTACTTTTATCTTTTTGAACCAGGTATAGCCTTCCAGAACCATATTCCTATCATGAACTTCATCCCACCAAGTTTTAGTGTTTGTATAGGGTCAAAATGGCCTCTTTCTTTTAGGATCTCTAGTCCATTCTGCTTATCTGTACTTTGTGAATTTGCATATAAATATCTGAAGCCATGAGCTGTACTGTGTACTCTTTCTTGGGTTTTGTCTCTTACAAATATTTGGACATCTCTGTTACTGTTCTTCCTTCATTATAGTGACTGTGGTATCTAGCTTGGATATGCCTAGGCAGTTTTTTTTTCATTTTCACTTTGAAGTTTTGATTTTATTTCTAAGACACCAAACAAATATGGCCTCATTAGTCCTTTGTTAGGCGAGCTCCATTCCTGTCCAATAATTCCTATATTTTAAGCCATAATCCTTAAGTTCTCCCTCCTCAGATACTACTTTCTTAACTAGCTGTTCAATTCCTATCTTGCCTTCTCTTCTGAAGACCTTACCTTCCAATGGTAGAAATCATGAGAATACCCCTTGGGTCACCGTATGCTTTGATTTCTTGCCAAAGACTTGCAATCCATAGCAATACTTCCTACAGTCTTTCTGTCAGAATTTGAGATTGTAGACAACCCTTAGATATTAGACCCTTAGATATTTTCCATATGAACTGACATTAATCCAGTTCTTCCCCATTCTGCATTTGTGCAGTTGAGTTTTTACTATAGTACAGGAATTATTATTATTACTAATTTCATTAATAAAAATTATGAGCATATCTCACATTTAGGCATCACTTTATACATTACTAAGATTACTTACTCAAAATAGCTCCATGAAATAGAGATTCCCTTCCCTTATCTTCATTTACAGATGAGAAAGGAGGCTCTGAAAGTTTGGACTTGTCCATAATATCTGACATTTATAAAGCCCTTTGAGATTCAAGAAATACCTCCTATACACTGTCTCATTTGATCAATCAATCAGCAAGCATTTATTAAGTACCTATTATGTGCCATGCATTGTACTAGGCTCTGGGGATTAAATACAACAATTAACCAATCCCTATTCTTAAGGATCTTGCACTCTAAAGGAAGATATGTATACAAACATATACACACCTATAGAATAAATATTAAGAAAAACAAAGAAATTCAATACAAGGTAGTTTGGGAGAGAGGGCACTAAGTAGTTGATAGACCAGTAAATACTTCATATAGAAAGTAGTATCCATTATAACCAACCTTTAACCTTGCACAAGCAAACCAAAGCATGACCTAAGATCTTGTTTTCCTCAAAAATATGTTTCCAAATATGCCTTAATCTGCAAGGAAAGCTATGGATTGTTTGGTTAATAGGTGTGGCAGGGTCCTGTTCTTTATACTTCCCAAAGAGCAACTCTGAAGCCTTAGCACCAATAGAGAAAGAGAACATTCTTAGCTTTTGTTGGTACTTAGGGGACCGCTTATTGTAGCCAGTGGCTTAGTTGATCCCCCCAGGTGCTGGTAAAGGCAAAGATGTGAAGAGGAGGTTAAGAGAAGTCAACTTGGCTACAAGCCCTCCCTTCTTGGACCCTGCAGCCTAGACGGGTCTGGGAGCATATGACTCATTGGAATGGTCCATCCATTGTAAAGGCAGTTTGAGTACCTTCAACATATGGCTGTCAGCAAGGGAGATAAGCAGTCCCCCAAAGTGTACTCAGGTTCTTAATGTCTCATCAGAGCTTCTCACATAAGGTTTATTATACTTGTTTACTTCAGAATTGTATCTGAGGTCATGCCTGCGCAGATCTATCCCTTCTCTCCATTTCTTCTTTCACTACTTTCATCATCTTGAGTTACTGTAATAGCCTTATTGACTACCTCCACTTCCAGTTTATCCTTCTAACCAACCTCACATATTACTGTAATTCTGTGTGATTGTGGGCATTTCACTTCTTTGTGATATACTTTATTCTTTTGTAAAATGAAATTATCTCTCTAAGGTCCTTTCCTATTCTGACATACTTTGATCTGCCTCTAACATCTCTTTCATCATGTCATTCCTCTACTTAAGAACCTGCAATGACTCCCTGTTTCCTACCATGGTATCTTAACATCTGTTGTCTGGATTTCAAGGCCTTCATAAGCTGGCCCTACAGTGGAGGATGCAATGTGGTACAATAGTCAAAGCACTGGATTTGGAATTGCAGGACCTTCATTCTGATTCTGTGTTTTTCGTTTATTATCTCTAAAGCATTGGACAAGCCACTTGATGCTTCTGGACCTCAGTTTCCTCCTCTATAAAATGAGAAGGTTGAACTTGATGACCTGTGGAGTCCTTTCCAACTCTAGATCTATGAGCCTATAAACATTATTTAGCTGTTTGATGACAATTTTTCATCAGGATAAGTGAAAATGGTTCAGTTTGGTTTTTTTAGTCAGTGTATTCTTATAAATCACTAGTCAGAGGGGGCCATATACTGGCCCTTAGTAAGCTCCAGGCTTCATTCAGATGAAATTGAATTTCATATTGCTCCAAGAGAAGAGGATAGAATATTCCTTTTAGGAAGAACAAAGATCTTCAAGGTGAGCAAGTAGCAGAGCAGCACTACAGTTCTGTACATCATAGCCATGTGATTTCTATTCATTTCTGATGAAGAAGGTTGGTGGTAAATTTATACCAACACTACACCCACATGCATGCATATATACATATGTGTGCCGCATGCATGCACACGTGTGCGTACACACACACACACACCCCATGCTCACACACCTCCACCAAGCAAGCCTCGCAACCTTTACTTACAAACACTTACATAGGCTCATCAACCCAATGTGTCACTCCCCTGCTCCTCTTATTCTGCTCACTATGCTGAAGGGTCATTGGCCTCCTTGGACTTCTATTTTTTTCAGCAGAGGAAGGTGGAGAGGAAGAGGAGGAGAAGACACAGAATAAGAAAGACAGAGGTAAAGGCAGCTTGGCAGGTCCCTTGGCCTAGAAGAAAGTCAAAACCATACATTCCATGAAGCACATATCTCCCTTCTCCTCCTCTGTGCTTCTTTCCCTACTGCCACTTTCCCAAGCCCATGAAAGCACCACATCCACAAGCATTTAAATGCTGAGCCTCCTACATGACCATCCATGTGCTAGATATTATTGAGTTATGGGGGAGCCAGAGGAAAGGCAAGAATATCAAAGAAATATCAGATATGGCCTCTTCCTTCAATCAGTTTATAATCTGTTCAGAAACAGTATCAGACTATACACATGAAACAATTAGGGAACAGTTCAGTGCTTAACTGTGATTTGGAATATAAGTGCAAACGGAAGTCCGTGTGAGCTGTAGTCACCAAAAGCTTCACAGAGGAGCTGGGAATTGAGCTAGACCTTGGGGGATGGATAGAATTTAAATGAGTAGAGAGGAGGAAGGAGGGAAATCCACATGGAGACTCAGAGGACATTCTAGTAGTAAATGAGCTTGATTGGTATAGAGGAGCCAGACTGTGGAAGACCTTGAAAGCCTGGAGAAAAGACTGCTATAATAGAAAAATAACAGTGAAAGTAAGTGCTATTGTGTCTATGTGCTCCATTGTACCTTCTCTCTGTAGATGTGTGCCCATCTGCCCTTCTCCTCCTATAGCTGTATCATCAGTAGATTGTACCAATGTCAGTAATGGGGCTTCTTGGATCCTGGTTTTGTAAAAGCCCCCAAATATTCAACCTCCCATGGCCATTGTACATGTCTTTAATTAATTCAATGCTTCCTAACTAGAAAAACCGGTGGCTAATATCTTAAGGAAACCCATTCTGTATGGGGACAAAGGGAGTGACAGAATGAGGCACTGCTGGCCCTTGTGAGGGCTTAAATTCCTGAATTTGTGTGATCAGAATCATAGGTACCACAAAGTTAACCTGCACTTTTTATCAATATTCAATGAACAAGTAGTCAGTTTGGATACAGTCAACTCTTGGTTATCCACCAAAATGAGGGGGAGCTCTGGTTACAGACAATCTAAAAATAAGTTAGTTCTCTTTGGCTTTGGAATGTCTGTGTTTGTTGTAGTTGAGATGGTATTGAAAAAGAGGAGGTGACTTCAACTGACTGTTCAGTTGGAGACTCATGGATGTCTAACATGATTGCAGGGTGTGGTTCTCAGCTTTTCCTATTCAGGAACTCCATTTTATCAATTCCTCTGGAGGTGTTAATGCTCTAGGGGACTGATTCACACTAACCCAACTGACAAACCAGAAAGCCATGTATAAATTTATAATGAGAGTGGGCTTTTTCAGTATCCATCAGTTATCCAGTCTATTCCCTACCTGACAGTTCATCCAGTCTGTTCCCTACCTGCTGTGGACATATTTAGAAAAATGAATGAGTGATCCCAGGTTTGTTGGTGAATATGGAAACCAAGCACAGTTGGATGTTTGGACTCCTTTGGATTGAGAAAATCTGAGTTTAAATTCCAACTCTACTACTTATAATCTTGGACAAGTCACTTGACTTCTCAGGATCCCAGTTTCCTCATCTATAAAATGAGATGGTACCTTGAACCCTGAGTCCTGTAATTCTATAATTGATCAGACTATGTATCACTATAAGTGTTCAGAATACATACATATATATGTGTATGTACAGACTAGATCAAATTCATTATACAAAACACTTTCCTAGTGACTAGCATACTCATGTCCACTAGACATGGATCACAAGATCATAGAATTAGAGCTGGAAAGGATCACTTTTTCTCTGAGAAAATGTAGCTGGATAAAAAATGAGAAATTACTACTTTTTGCTCTTTTCCCCCCTGGACCCCATGCAGATCACTATCCTTGGATACGTCACAATTAGACTACAGTTTTACTTATGTTAGTTACCTATTGGTTTCCATGATAAAATATGGGAGAATAGCCTATTCTTATCAGTAAATGAGACATTTACAAGCCATCTCTTAAATTGGGTTTCTTCTGCAAGTGACCAATAGCCTATAGTTTCTGTTGATTCTTACTTCCATTTTAGTAAGTTACATTTTCTGACAAGATCCCCAAACTCTGGGTGTAAATCAAATATGGAGACTGTAGCCCATTTGTATTCATGGACTTAATAGTTGAATATAGCTGTGCCTTTACTTTTGGGGAATTACAGTATTTAGAATAATGGAGTCACATGGTGACGATATGACTCAAGAAGAGCTGGAAAGTTCTCTATTTTGTCCTCTTGTTCAGGGCTCTTCTCACCTCCCTTCTGTGTGCTGTACATATTTAGCCTTGACTGAGGCAAAACAAAGAAGCCTAAGTGGATTTGTCCTCTCTCTCTTTACCCTTTTTGTCCAGTTATACCTTCCTTGGAACCAAAGATGAAGATTTAGGCTTAAAAGGGCTTATACTGTGCTATAGGGTGCCTAGCAGAGTAAAATTCAACCAGAATGTCAGCAAAGGAAGTAATTTTTTTTTCCTGGTTTATGATGTCAGAAATTGAAAAGATTTCCCATGGATAATCTTCCCTTGGATAATTGAGAGTTGACTTATTTCTGACACATATTGATGTTTCTTACAGTAACACACAGGATTCCTGTTGGTCCAGAAACAGTCTCTGGGCAGACTTTTCATTGCTTCCTAATTTAATTCAGGTGAATGATTGTTACCCTCCACTACCAAACCACACCCCTACTCCTGAGATACTGCTAGAAAAAAGCCATCAAGGTTTAGGGGAGGGGAAGTTAGGAAGTAGGCTGGAGAGAGCTTGAAGAGCCATTGTATCCAGACAAGAAATAAAAAGGAAGAAAAACCTATAAGTCTATTCCTCTTGCAAATGGTCAGATACAGAGAAATTAAGGCAGCTTTAGAAGAAAATGAAGAAGAAATTGAGGTAACCTTCCCAACCCAATTCATACAACATATCTTAATTTTAGGCACACTCCTCTCCATGCATACAAATGTAGGTAATCCTACCCATACCCTATATGGACATGCAACTATAAAAACACTCAAGAATATACATATGTGATAGTCAAATGTATACAAACAGTACCCTAAATTGATATGCAGGTGTACACACTTACTTAGATGTAGTATGTGCATATGGATATAGATAATTGACATTTTTTAGATCACACTTATGGTTTCATTGATATAGGGTACTTTTATTGGAAAAACTACCTCTGCTAATGCAGATGGGCACCTGTTCTGCAATGTATGCATATAAAAATTCATGCATCAGACAATATGGTGCCGTGGGTTGAGTGCTGGACTTGAAATCAAGGAGGCTGGGTTCAGTTCCTTCTGGCACTTATAAATTGTTTGGGGATTTTGTTGGTTGATTTTTGTTTTGTTTTGTGGACAAATCCCTTAGCATCCCTAGTTTTCTTATCTGTAAAATGGGCATATTGATCCTGTGGTATTTACAGGGCTTTTGTGAAGTTCAAATGAGATCATATTTACACTTTGCAAAATCTTAAAGTACTCTACATATCAGCTGTTATTATCCATAATTATTCTCAGCAGACACATACCACCATAGAAATAAAAGCCTAATGCATCACTCCACCCTATACACAAATAATAATAATATACATTTATATAGCACTTAGTTACAAAGCAGTTCCCTCACAACAACCCTGTGAGGCAGCTAATGCACGTGTAGCAAATGCTTTGGAGTTAACTATTCCAGCCTTGACTCAGAAACCATGTTCCAGGGATGGCTTCTTCTCTCAGTGGTCTAGGGTAACCCTTGAGGGGTTATGGGTGGTTTTTTCAAATACAGAAGCTCACAATCCCCCCACTGGTGTGCTTCCCTCTACTGATTATCAGTTGATATCAGTCCACCAGACTTAAATAGCTATTAGAAACCAGTATTTACTAAGGTAGTACAGTAAGAAAAGTTGGTACAAACATCCCTACTAACAAGGTGCTTACTTACCAGAAGTACAGGCAGAAAGAATCCAAGGGGAAGAGGCCTCAAGATTAGAGCAGGTGTTGTAGCAAAGGGATAACTTAACTTACGTTCCTAGAAGTCCAGTTCTTCCCTTCCTGGGACCATCATGACATTTCCCTTAGCCATTTGTGCTCCTGGTAGAATCCAAAAGCTTCCTTCCCTTAGATGATCCAGCTTATCCTCAGCCCCTGATACAGTCAGTGCAGCCAGTCACTGCTGTTGTGGGAACACTGTTAGAAAGCCAGGGAGATGTCCAGATTTTTCAGCCCTCCAAAGCTCACAGATTCCTCCTCTGGTCAAGGGGGCTGTAGGTAGATTAAAGCTTTTCCCTTCCTCCTCCTCAACTCCTGAAGTGATTCTCTCTCAGGGGCTTGGCTAGAACTGTTCTTTGCTGTAAACTGCCAGACACCAGAATAGTGGGTTTTTTCTTTGTTTGGGTTTTTTTTTTTTTGCTTTTTTAGGCAATTGGGGTTAAGTGACTTGCCCAGGGTCACACAGCTAGTAAGTGTCAAGTATTTGGTCTGAGGCCGGATTTGAACTCAGGTCCTCCTGACTTCAGGGTCAGTGCTGTATCCACTGCGCCACCTAGCTGCCCCCAGAATAGTGGGGTTTGAACTGGCAAGCTGTTTTATAGAAAACAAGGTACATCTGGACATGTATTAGTTTAATGTCATTGATTTATTCATTCATTAGAGGTGTTCTCACCTGATGTAAAGGCTAAAGTGATTTGTTAGTTACTTGAAGTGGGGAGGGGTCTGTGTGTGGTTAATTGACTCAATTGATTACCACTTTTATTTCTTCTTGGCAAGGCAGTTGGGGTTAAGTGACTTGCCCAGTGTCACACAGCTAGTAAGTGTCAAGTGTCTGAGGTCAGACTTGAACTCAGGTCCTCCTGACTCCAAGTTCTATCTACTGCACCACCTAGCTGCCCCCAATTACCACCTTTATACAAGTATGATTATTTCCATTTTGTGTAAGAGAAAGCTGAGAGTTTGATAAATTAAGTGACTCACCTATGCTCACACAGCTCAT